CAGAAGTCCTCAACAATACCAAACCCCAACCCTACACATCCCCAAACCGCCCTAAACCCTCTTCAGACCCGCACACTCTAAAGCTACACTTGACGAACAGGCCCAAGCAAAAGAACCTAAGCCCTAAGCCTTTCGGCCCAAGAAGAAAGCATAGACAGCCTCCAATCCTTCACCCTCAAGCGCAAACAGGCGAAAACCTCAAATAACAGCCCCAGCCTTGCGCTCTCATCCTCCATATGCATTGTAGAGGCTCCTTGTAAGTTGCTGTATGCTTGAGCTGTCCCGATAAGGTTCTATCACAAGACCCCTGGATGCAAGAAGAGTGGATATCGCAGCTGTCTTGCATGATTTGCAATTCAGGCCCCTATTGCTTGTGCGCATGCTGGAAGGTTCTGGGATCTGCTGGTGAAGAAGCACAACCTCCCCGCAGATGATGTCGTCTTCATTTGAGGCAGTATGATCCCGAATTGGCGTCTTGCGTGGCAATTGCCTCATGGGGCTTTGTCAGGTTGCTGCCTGTCCGGGGTTGGAACACCATGGCTGAATGCCCAATTTCATGACTATGCCTTTGCGCCCTCCGCTATCGCAGAAGTAGTTCCGGCCCCTGAAGGTGAAGCAATCACTTTTGCATGTCTTGAACCAGTGATCCAGGAGGTTTGACCTGGTTTTGTTGCTTCATCGGCATCTGAAGCCAATGGCATCAGTGAAACATGTAAACCTGGTGCAGGTCTGAAATCGGGGACCTTGAGGATGCGTAGGATCCGTGGCCACGGGCATAAACCTGTGCCTTCCTGATGTACATATGCCACAGCTTCTAGAGATTGCATGCCACGCCTTCGTGCTTGCATTTCGTGGAACCCAGCTGAGTAGCAGCATATGCTGCAAGGCTCGGCGCACCAAACCTTCAGAGTTTGCTCTTAGCGAATTCACCTACACACAGGAGGCACAGGATCATGCGTTTGCAGGTGAGCTACGATTCCTGAAGGTTTGGGGCAAGGTTGATCGCCTAAAAGCAAGACAATACTATTTGCCGAAGAGCGGCAGATTGCAGCAGCAATTGAGCTATTGCGCAAAAAAGGCCAACAGGCAGCATATATTGGCACCCCAGGCTGGATTTCATCTTCAGAAGAAGAGCACAAAGACGACACCACTTTGAAAACCCGCCATCTAATTTGAGTTGCATTAGGTGGTGAACTGTCCAATCCAAAGCGGACTCTCTTTGCTCTGATAATCCTGACAGGACCTTCACCTGCTCCTGCGCTGTCACCTAAGTTGAACGGACGTTTCCTTCCATTGCGTCAGTCTGGTCTCATAATTAAAGTCGAGCACTTTGAGTCTGAACAAGTTCGTTGGATGATGGGCTGGAAGGGTTCCTCCAGAATTCCTGCCACACTTTTGTGGCTTTGTAGTGCTACAAGGTGGAGCCAAAGCATCGGAGAAGGTCAGTTGCAAAAGGCCATGGGTTCTGCACAGACAGCAACACCGGACTTCAAGCATTTCCGACTGTGCCCGAACCTCGCGAGTTCACCATTCCTGGTTGCCGATTGCGGCGGTGGCCGTGGTGAGGTTCATGCGCAGCAAATGGGGATGCTTGAGTTTCGGGTTCTACCAGCAGAGACCACGGCCTCATGATGATGGAGTGCTGAGACTGGGCGCAGGTGTCGGTGCCGGTTGCGGCAATTCCCGAGACCAGGCAAGCTTTGATGATTGATTCAGTGAAAAGGAGGAGCGAGTTATTTGACCGACTTGCTGCTAGGCCTGTCCAAGCTTGCATTGGGACCTCAAGAGGAGGCCCAGGCAATTCCTTTCGCTTCTTTGCTGTTTCACCTCAATCTGCACATTTAGATAACGTTGTATTTCAGGTCGCTTGCATGACTCTTCGTCTGGAGCTCATTCAATGAATCGCTGTATACAGGCCGCTTGCAATGCTGTCAGAACCCTCGGATGGAACGCAGCTGAGGACTCGGGGGTTCAGTGTGTCCCCAGCTGCTGCGCAGCAGCTTCTGGCACAACTGCAGCAAAACCCAGGCCAGACATTAAACAAGCAGTATTACCTTGTTTACTTTTCTTCTCTTGTTAACTTGTTTTTGGCTTGCCAAGGCGCTGCGGAGCGCGCGGCCGTGCCACTGTCGGCCCCGTGGTCCCTCTTCCGTTGGGTGCGGGCCCCGGTTTTGCCGCTGCAGGTCGAGAGAATTGAGACTATGCCATTAGCACTTTACAGTGCTGCTCTCTGTGGACAAGTGATTGCGTGCATGTGAATTGAAAATGTGAGCTCTAGTGGGCAACATGAGTCTGGAAAGGAACACCTCGATAGAGTGTTCTGGCTCAGGAAGTTCAAAGCAACTTCACGTTGGGAGCAGCAGTGCGCGGGTGGGAAGGAAGATCAAGCATGTTGCAATGGCCAGCACGCATCGTCGACAAAGGTTTGGCAAAAGAATGGGCAATCTAGAGAGGAAAGGGAGCAGAAGTTGTATATAGGCTTTGTCCTCAGTCCGGCAAAAGACGAGCCGTCGCACAAGTCGAACGGGCCATGTTTGTGGCTGCGCGAGCCAAAGCCAGGCGAATGCAGCGTCGTGAAACAGCATTCGCAGCATGGTTCCGGTTGCTGTGCAGGCTTCCAGATCGCCCGTCCGTTTGGTCCTACCAAGCGGGCTTCGAAAGATGGAGCAGTTGAACCAGGAATACCTTGCAGTGACACGCAAGAATTGGAATGCACTTCGAGACCATTTTGTGCGTTCGTTTTTTTTTTTTTTTTTTAAGTGCACCCATCACATCTCAGGCACGCTTTGCTGCCACCAGTCTTCACCTGGCCTTGACAGTCAATGCACCCTGTCTTGATGGGCTCCAGGTGATGTTTCAACGCAAGTAAAGTAAGGCTTTAAGGGTTTTGAGGGCATTGTGCCAGGTATTACAGGCTCGCTCAGACCACGTCCTTGCGGCCCTGGAGAGACCCTGTGTGCAGCAGGTTGGTTGTCCGGCTTGAGCACGAAACTATCACGAGTGTCTCTCGCACGGTCAGATGCGCTATCTTGGCCTCTTGGGCACCATATTGTCCAAAACTCCTAGCCGTAGATCAGTCGTCGTTTGTAGATACGGGACATTCCCGGAACATTCCTGCAGACGTGTCTAGATCTTTGCAGGCGCTGCGAATGCCAGCTGCGTGTCGCAAGGCATCGCTGAGCAGGTCTATGTTCAAGCCGTAACAAGGAGCTATTCTGCCGATAACCTTACGGGATCAAGCCCTGGTGTGCGACGTTCTTGAGGGATCACATCATGACCAAAGCTCTTGAGGAGTCTCATTGTGCACCATGACGCCCAAGGCCCAAAGATATTAAGGAATCTAGAGTCTAGACCCTAATTTGTACTCATGAAAAATCATACCGTAACGCCAGTGTAACGCCAGAAATTCTGGAGTCATCACACCAGAACATCCAAAGCCCTTGAGTAATCAGCCAGTGATGCTCGACAGTGTTCAGGGATCGGACCGTGGCACCGAAAATTGGTGAGGGATGACACCGTGACGTAATGTGATGCCAAAACCTGATGAGGGTTCACACCGCGACGGGCAAAACTTTTCAGGCATGACACTGGGCGTCGCGTTGTGATTCCTGAAGAGTTTTGTGCATCACGGTTTGATCCATCTAAGAATTTTGGGTTTCACGGTCTGCTCCGTCAAGAGTGTTGGGGCATCGCGGTGTGATACTACAGTGCGATCTATCAAGAGTTTTGGACGATTACGGAATGGTCCCTCGAAAGTTTTGGACGCTACAGGATGATCTTGCTATGGCTTTGAATATCACAGTGTGCTTTGGCTTCAAAGAGAAGTGTAAGCCTTTCTAAAATTCTGGAGCACAAGGTTTGTTGAAGCAAAGCCCGGTGAGTTGTGGCTCATGGCATTCAGTGGCAGGTTCAATAGAAAACATGCAAGGCGGAGTCTGGCATTCACAGTGGCTGGTTTCCGCTGACAGGGAAACTGCGCGATCTTGGACGAGTTGTCCGCCAGCTGTCGCAGCTCTTGGCAGGCGGCGCACTTAGTCTGAACAGAAAGTAAGTTTCCCGAGTGAGCAAGCAAGAGGTTGTTTTGCAGAAAGGTCTCGGAGTCCGTTTTCTATACTGAGCTGCCGCTGGACCAGACATTCAATGTCTAGGAGCTTGGCACGCTCCACGCTCTAGATTGTTTTGTATTCATACGCCGCTACTTTTCATTTGCTGTATTTACGAGAGCAACACCGGCCTCGCCAGCGCCTCCTGCAAGGTCTGTCGCGATTGCATTCCTTGTGGTGGAACTTGTGTCCATGCTCTCAGCGGTCCATTGTTCGCAACAAGAGGTGAGTGTCCTTATAGCCAGACCGCGGCAACTGCTAGCGGTGTTCCCGGTCAGGCCATCAACTTTCTGGGCGCCGTCCTTCACTCGGGAGGCACGCAGCTATTTGAGGGAGATCAAGGCGTATGAAGCCGCATGCGCATGTCAGGCGCCTTGGTGCTAGTCTTGTTCTTGGTAATGCAGCTGCTTGGCAGCTGTTGGCTGACTGCACGGCTGTGTTTGGCTTTATTGCTGTTTGGGCCGAGGGCTTCCTATGTCTATTTCCACGTCATCTTTGCGCTCTGCTGTGTGCTGCCCTTCCTAGGTTTCCCGGCATCCAACTTCAGGTAGGAATGGTCATGCTATGCTTCAGTGAGCAGTTGGTAAAGCTCACATCAATCTCTTCAAGCTTTCAGCTGGCTTGTCTGGCCGGCCGTGTTCCATCAGGTGAGCTGAACACCTGGTCAGCCATTCTGCGTGGCGCATATGTGAAGCGGTTCCCGCCGCCAGAGACCAGCAGCTGAGAGGAAAAACTCGTCATTACCTGTCTGCCGATGTTTGCTGGTTCCTCGGATTTGTTTCTTGGCTCCACAGATGGCACACGCGCAGTTGCACCCTACTACGCTGCCGTTCCCGCAGCTTCAGCTCAAAGAGATTGGCCTAGTTAGAAGCCCAAGTCATCCGTTCGTTTGACACAATGGCTGACCAGTTGACTGAGGAGAGTGCTAGTTCTTTTGATGTGACATGTTCCGACTTCACTTTTTGAAATGATTGTCTGCTTCTGTTCACGATCATCTGCGTGTTGCTTGCCAGAGAACATGGGGGCTGTCTGGTTGCAGCGCTAGATGGTGTGCTTTTTTTGGTTTGCCAACTTTTCTGCAGGTTCTTAGCGTGTGCAGTGCTCCAGGAGCAGATTGCCGAGTTCAAGGAGGCCTTCTCCCTGTTCGACAAGGATGGCGATGGAACCATTACTACCAAGGCAGGGGAAATCTTGATGTAATACTTGAAAAGCGATGCCCCGAGAGTTTCGACCAGAAAGGAGCTGGGGACCGTGATGCGCTCGCTGGGCCAGAATCCCACAGAGGCTGAGTTGCAGGACATGATCAACGAGGCCTGGGGCGGACCTGCGAACGCGCATTGCGTGTTGTGATTGTAAAGACTTGTCTTCCGGGCTCTCCAGCTAGAAGACTGGCAGGTCGATGCTGATGGCAATGGCACCATCGACTTCCCCGAGTTTCTGTCCCTGATGGCACCTAGCCTGAACCACTGGAATCACTGGAACTGCACTTGGCACTTTGCGGCGGGCCGAACTTTGAATCAACTCTGAGGCTCGCAAGATGAAGGACACGGACACAGAGGAAGAGCTCATCGAGGCGTTCAAGGCCCGCGTCCTTGCTTCTGCTACGTCCGATATGTGACATGTGGTCGGTAGAAGATGTGCAGGCGCGCATGCACGAGTACATGTGACTCTCATAAGACTACTGTTGAGCGTTGAAGTATGCAGGTCTTCGACCGCGATGGAAATGGTTTCATCAGTGCTGCTGAGTTGCGTCACGTGATGACGAACCTGGGCAAGCGCCTGAGTCATCACTGCTGAGGGGCTGGCCTTGCATGTGCGTTCTAAGATGATGAAATGAAGTGAACAAGTTCCTGTTGTTTTTGCATGTTGGTGTGCCTGTGAAGAAGGATTCGGTCAATCCAATCTCTGGCTGGGTCTCATCTGTCATGTGTAGAAACCACGTGAAACCACCTTGACGCAAGGAACGAAATGCAGCCATGTTGCTAAAGTGTTGCTTCCACTTCAAGTGCCACTCGACAGGTGAGAAGCTGACGGATGAAGAGGTGGACGAGATGATCCGAGAGGCCGACGTTGATGGTTCCAGCCTTACATGCCTTACCAGCTGTAGAACATGTAAAACCTTGGGGCTGTCTCAGAGCAGTGGCTCTGAGTGATCTGTTATCACCTGCGTCCTCTGTCGCCAGCAGTGCATGCCTAAGGTGATGGACAGATCAACTACGAAGAATTCGTGAAGATGATGATGGCCAAGTGAGAGACTGCCGGAAAGCAGCTGGCACGAAACATGGTGCCGGCAGCCGCTCTTCACCGGCTGCAATAGAACTGGGCCTTTGACACGAGTCCCGAGTGAAGCTGTATCATGGATCGCTACTGACACGATGTACCAAAGCTTGGCACGTAAAAAAGTGCTTTGTGAGTCCGTGTACATTAATGCAGCTCTTCTGCACAGGTGCTTTGTACTGTACCTGAGCTTCTTTCTCCCCTCTCGAGGGAGCTGCCAGTGCAAAGTCAACAAACGCCTTCTTCATTCCTACCACTTTGTCAAGTAATCAGTAAGGCTTTCCGAGTCCTCGCTTTGCCCAGGTCGGGGTGCTCTCCTTGGACTCAATGCAGAGGAAGGTTAAGCTGCGCTTGGCATCGTTGTGCCCCACCTGCTAAGCTTTCCACTCCGGGCTTGCTTTGCAACATAGATTTCATCGCTGGTGGAAATGGTCAGCATGAAGATCTTCATTGAAGCGAGAGGTATCCGAACTGGGTCTTCTACGCCAAGGACTTGGACAGGCAGGAGCTAAGGCATTTCATTTCTTCGAGTGGAAAGCACATGCTTTGGGTGTTGTTGATGCAGTCCTCTGCGAACGCTGCAGACGCCGCTGCTCCAGGCTCTGCCTGCAAGTTTGCTTAAAACCTCAAGAGATTGTGGATCTGGATGAACTGCTTTGCTGGGCCCGCTCTGCAACTCCAGTCATTCTTTTTTTTTCACATTCTCCGTTCTTGCATAACTGCCGACCAAAGTTTTCTCAGCTTTCTCCTCCTCCAAGAAGATCTGATCATGAAGGCGCTGCTGGTGCCTGACCCGGGTGGCTGCATGGGCAGCACGCTAAGAGCAGATCTTGTCTCAAGTTCATACTGGTAGCCCCCTGGACACAAAGGTTTTGGCTTTGAAGCACGCTGATTCTGAGGCTTTGGCTTCTTGACACTGGACCAGGGCCGCCGCCTGCTGTGCCTTTTGGAGGACGAGGCCCTCGCGCAGGAGGCCAGGGCAGAGCGCAAATGTGACAGGCGACTGAAGGCCTCTGGGATGCGGCTCAGCTGTGCCAGGTGCCACTCGTTGGGATTTGGGTCGATCTGAGGCACGAGAGCCAAGAGGACAGGATGAGACTATGAATCTAAACCACATGTTGGGCGAAGCCCCTCGAAAACGCAGGAGAGCCGGAGCCCGGCATCCTCAGCAGCAGTGTGGGCAGCGGCGGCGCACTTTGTGCAGCGAAGGTTCGGTGCCTAGGCTGTCTAATCCAGGCTTGACATTGCATGCATTCCGGGCAATGGAGCAAAACTGTGCCACGTAAAAGCTCATGCTCAATGCGGACACTGCGTGCAAAGGACATAACTCATTGTCTCACAGCCAAGACGGTAATATCAGTCAGGCATTTGATAGATGACGTAATGCAGGAAACACGAGGTTCTTACGTGTTCTGAAGCTGCCAGGCAAGTCAGAGAGAAAGTGGCGACCTTAGCTTGTGGCGTTCTGCATTGAATTCTGGCTAATTCTCAAAGTACCCTTTCCTTCGAGAAGCTCAGGTGTGGGTCGACACGAGCACATTCCTTGTCATGTCTGTCACCCAGCAGAGGCCGCTCGTTGTTACATGTAAAGCGGAGCCACTCTAGAGACCATAATTGGACAAGCAAAGACTACACTGCCAAAAGGTGGCTTCGTAGACACATACAATCCTTTCGAAACCTGTTCTGCAGCTCAAAAATCCCTTGAGCACGAACGGGAGAACTTGTCGACGGACCGCAGTGGGAACCGCCGCGCCACAAAGGCGGAACCACGCTATCAGTTGTATTCCCAAGATTTTCCTCATCTAAAGCTTCACTTGATACGTCCCTGCGCAGTAACAGCAAACAAGCCCGTGTCGAAAAGCTTGTTGCCCAAAAATAAGTCCGCTCATAGCTGTTTTTTTGTACTTGTGGTCGTTTGTTTTGAGGTTCTGAGCTTTTGTCTGCGTATTTGCCCATCCGAGGGTCCCAACAGCATTGAAATTTCCTTCTTCCCGCGTAGCAGGCAGAACAGAACTCAGCTGGCGCAAGCGTTGCCTAATACTGCTAGGGCCGTGCATTTGGCCAGCATTTCGCACAAGCCGAACGTGCTGGGCGCTTGTTGTGTTAAAGAAGGCAGGTGACGGAGTGAATCTCACGTCATTCCTGCCTTTTTGTTTGCGTTCGCGCAAACTTGTTTCTGCCGCATGCAAATCCCACAACCCCAATGAGTTGCGTTGGGGCCGGCCTGAACCCCCACACTTCACCTGCTTTGTCTTTCAGATGAGTCGCACCATCATCCATGTTGCCTGCGGAGCAATTCCGTCACTGCAGCTGCTAGCGTACACAGATTCACTGGTTTTGGCCTTCGGTCACCGCGCCCAGCATCCACCACCGTACTCTGTTGCATTCCGTCAATGCCGATCACCCTTCATTTTTCGGGCTTGTGGTAAATTCTGTCACTGCGATGCCCATGGATCAAAGTTTTGCTAGCTAGGCTCGTCAGGATGTATGAGGTCATGAACATTTTGTTCGGGCTTTTGACGTGAAACCCGCTGAGACAGGGGTTGCCGACCTGTCGCATATTGCCCGCTGCATGTCGATGGAGCTGCGTTGGAGCTCAGGGCCCGGACGTTTAGCCCAGGACTCATAACTGAACACTTCGAGCTAGGTTTGCAGTACCCGTAGACCTCCAAGTAAAGTCTGCTCTTGAGGGCTTCAGGGATGAACCCATCATCAAGCATTTTTTAAGCATGTTTTTCAAACGTCAATGCCCAAGACGTATGCCTGGTATAGAACATGTTGGGCCGTGGGCATCACATGGAATCAATGAGGCATGTAGGAATCGAGGAACTGTGGTGGACACGTAGCTTGAGCTTGCACTTGAGTTCAGAAGTCTGCAAATTTCGAATCGGCAGCCTTTGAAAGAGTGAACAGAAGCTCTGCAGCATGACACCATTGTAGCATGCTCACGGGAGGGTCAGCAAAGCCGGCCAAGAGGGGAAAGGCAAGAGAGAAGCAAAGGACGGCAGGCCGATGCCACGGGATGGTTACCCAGGCCGGGGTAAGCAACAGCTAGTAGCAGCTAGGGCCGGTCACCTTTCACCAACCAAGAATTGCATTTAAACGGGCATTGATTCCGCAAAGCTGTGATTACCCTAGTCGACATGCAGCGGCAGCATCCCACACGTCTCCTCGGGTCCCGTCTTCTCTTCCTGTCCGTTGTTCTGTCCTAATCGCCCCATGAAGTGCCGTCCCATCCCACAACTCTCCTCCGGCACTGTTTCCGCGAGCCCGCTCATCCGTCTTTTCGTTTGTCTGTCCTTTTTTCTGTTCCGTATCTGCTTGTCGGTTTGCTTGTTCATCCGTCTCGGTACATGACAAGCAGGAGGTCGACAGGACATCGTGAATTCAATTGATGTGCTTTGAAATCATCATTGACGTTTAGCATAGAACTTGACCGAGGACTTGGTCATTCGGTCATCATGATCTTGATAGGGGCACGTTTGTATCCTCATACTGTAGTGACATGTCACTGACACCAGTCATCAATAGCATGCAAACAGATTTCCACCGATGCGCGCATGGTGCTGTCAGGACAACGCCTTCCGGCTCCTCATCCACGAAGCTTTTGTGCTCCGGCTGCATTACGCTTGCACGCTTTGCTGGGGTAGCCAGCATGTCAGATGTCAGGTTTTCAGAGTTTCGCTATGAAGAAGCACCCGATGAGGACGCACCACTGCCTTGTGATAGCCTGCTTTGTCTCTCTGATTCCAGCAGCCAGTGCCCCCATAACATAGTGACCACCTGGCAGTTCACAACGTGTGCAAAGGCCAGAGGGGGCAAGGTTAGCAGCTGCAACTAGCTGTCGCTTGACAGGGGCTTCATCTCGCGTCTGTGGATTTCGAAGTGGGTCAGGCCTCGTCGGCTTGGCGTGCGGCTGTAGATTTTTTTTTTCTGCGGATCACTACGGTTGTGCTTGGGCGCAGCTGTTCAACTTGAGAACAGCCTGGAGGCTGGTCCCGAAGACCTGGGCCAAAGCCTTGACCTGACCTATTTGGACACCTTCACGGACGCTTGGAGGCATACTTAGATCACGGTGTTGCGGCTTGGGATCTTTTCTGTGCAGCTTTGCCTTTTGATCAAAAGTCTTGCACTTAGTCACTCCTGTGCGGGCCCAGGCTGACCTGGTGGATCTGGCGAAGATCGCTGGAGGAGCCGCCACGTCGATGGAGGTGGCTTTGTGATGCAGCCTCCCGTTTTTGACCTGTATGCTCCTTGCCGTGGAAGGTGTTACCGTGTTGCAGGTTCCTCTCTTCTTTGGGCATGATGCATTTCTCATAACCATCCGTGCTAGGAAAAATGCGTGATAGTGCATGTACTGTCCAGTGCAGCTACCAGGAGGAGTGTGAGACTCTGAAAAGTTGCGTTTTCTGCAAACAAAAATGCCAAATACTTGAACATGCTGCGCCTGCAGATGTTCTGTACATTTGCCCATAGGGAGCGCTGCGCAAAATAGTACGTACTGTAAAAGATAAAAGATGCTAAAAGGCTTAAACTTTTTCGGGCGATTCTTCGGCCCTAATGTGCGTTCACAGGGCTTCTGGCTGTTGCCTGCAAAAAGCTCTTCTGCCAAAACATCAGGAGTAGGGAGCATGGACAAAAAGATGGGCCTATTTTCTCTCCCCTCGCGCGGCAGAGGATGCCCAAATGTTGCGTAGTATTGATTGCTAGTTGGCTAGTTAAGCTTGATGGGCTTCTGAACGCCGGCCATCCTCAGGTATTGCACGCACGAATGCAAGGGACTTGTGATCAACAGTGCGCAGACCTAGTGTTTGAATCCAGATTTTCGACACCAGCCTCTCATGTGCTGCAAATTTCTATGCCATATCACGCTGGGCGACAGGTTCTCCGTTCGCGAGCTCCAGAGCTACCAGAGCGAACACCATCACCCAGCCACCAAAGCGAGGCTTGTCGTGTTGACGTACTTGTTTCTTCATGTCAATGTGTGCCTGAGGGGGGCCTTGGCTTGCATTTGCTTAGGCTGAGCCACAGGGGCTGGCGCGAGAGGAGCTGAGGAGCGCTGACGCTGATAGACTGCGCTTCAACATTCATAATCACTTACAGTTGCGGTTTCCAGAGCGCTACTGCTGCTGCTTTCAGCTACCTGCTTGTGCAAAAAAAGATCAAAAAAGCAACCGATGAAGAGCAAGCGATCGAGACCCCTTCACAAAATCCCTGTGGCTCCTGATATTTGAGACGGGCGTTGGGTACCTGCGTTAACCAGTGCCTTGGGTGCCCTTGAAATCCCGCAACCAAGCGCCGCGGCACTATTGGCGTTGACAGTACAAGAACCGAACAGCCCCGAAGTCATCAGCTGCAGCTGACCACAATCTGCCCCTCCATCTCTGCAAGAAGGCAGGCTGAGCGAGGAACACGCTCGTAGACATCAACTACATGATTTTGCACCTTTGCAGGCAGAGAGTGTCAATTGCCATTGCAAAGCATCAGTGAGATCCTTTGACTCCGCAGTCAAAATTGAAACAGAAGCAAAAATGAAATCTGCCCGGATGTAAGGATTCAAGGCAGTCTCAGCTTGTGAGACACATACAAGTTCATTGCGTGCGTGCCAGACGGTCACATGTATCAACCCGTGCTGAGACTAGCTTCAGCTCATGCCTACTTCAATCCTTTTTTATTGTGCCGCAATGTTGTTGTGGAAGGTAAAGCTTTTCGAAAGCTCCGCTTCTGGCACAGGACCTCTGTAGCGAGTTTGGAAACGCTCGGCAACGGCAGGCTGGTCCTCGGTAGTTGCAGAATTTTTTCGATCCTGATCCTTGTCAGACAGCATCGCAGCCTTGGAGTGGTCATGCGGGCAAGACTAAGACTCAGGCCAGAGGAGCCACGGAGTCAGCCGCGTCCAGCTGCGGAGGACTGCCGTTCCTGCGGGGCGAGTCGCTCTGCCGCAGAACGGGGTACGGGGTATGGGCTTGTTGCTCTCTGGGCTTTGCCAAGGCTACGTTGGCGAAGCTGCTTTCTGCAGTCACTGCGGGTTGCGTCGCCCACTGCCTTCTCCACCAGATGCTCCACCACAGACACACTTGTGGAAAGGCCTGCGTTGTGCGTCAGCGGCTTCCTTTGCCTTTGAAGTGTGCTGACCGCAAGCCGCTCGCAACCTGTGGCCAGCACCGTCTGCAGCAGAAGAAGCAGTAGTTCTTGGAAGGCACCAGCAGCCCCAGAAAGGGACGCATCTCATCTGCTCCTGCAGCTCATCCCTCGACACCGTCTTGGAGGCTCTGAGAAAGGCTCCTCAAAGACTGGTCCTGGCTTTCTGGGGCGGCATGGCCTGCCAGGTCCGAGGCTTCGGAGTCTGAGGGAGTTTCCTTGAGACACATCGTTGGCGGAAACCTCAGCTGCGTCCCATTAGATCATCAGATCAGCTTGCTGCCCTGGTCAAATGGGTACTAGACAGGGTATTCAGCTGTAATGGAATCAACTGCACGAAGTGGCATGTCTGGTCCCCGACTTACGGGAACCCTTATTTACGCTCGGTTGAAGGATTTGTTGGCACTGAGTTAACCGACTTTCGGCTCCCAAAGGTCAGTCTTGGCTGTGCGAGATGTGCTTAGTGTTGTGAGTCTCATTCCTTGCAGCGTCATTTGGCGATTTGTTCTACGCTTCAGACCTTTTTCAAGCCCAAGATGGGACATGACCTGCAAGCCCCGAACTCCCAAAATGAGTCGTTGCTGACATGGATGGCAATTATTGATGGATCCCTCAGAGGAGTAGGCTTGCGAATCTTTCCCGTAGTAGGGCAAGGCCAGTACACCAGGAAGTTGCAGACCCAGGAGACCCAGGGCGGAGCTCTCACCAATCCGACTGAAGTGGATGCTCAATCGTTAACCCATTGGGCTCGAGACGGCGTGAGAATCATTGCTTTTCAATTCCTTTGTTTGACTTCGTTGCCCTAAGGCCAGCAGCAGCAACAACTGGGACTTCTGCAGTCGCAGCTACAAAGCGTTCAACAGCTTCTCACTCATCTGGTGACGAAGGCTTTGCCTTTTCTTGAACCCATGGCTTGCAGGCATTTTCATTGTAAAAGGAAGTGAATCGGTGACGCAACTCAAGGCATTGTGTTGTTGGGATATCTGCAAGCCCTCATGCGTGCTGTGGCAGGGCTATCCGCAGCCGACCACCTTAGATGTTCCCAAGGCGGAGATGACATTTTGCAAACGATGACTCCATTGACTGGCGTAGTTGCAAGCATGTTTTTAGGCTTTTAGTGTAAGTCAGTATAAGTCGTGGCACTGCTGTCTTGCAATTCGAAACTGCTTGAGATATTGGTAGTCTGACTCTCTGCTAGTTGGCACACTTCAAGCGAGCTTGATGCATCTGAATTAAGGAAGCATCATCAGAAACAGTCTGCAATTTGGCTGGGAGGCTGATGTTGCTGTGAATGCGGCCCTAGATGAGGCCAATGTGCAGATCAGAGAGGATGCGTGCGTAGATGCTTGAGCGAGATGCTGTAGGAAAGCCGTGCAGTTGGGAGGTCCAAGTCAGTGTCGCCCACGTGCAGACAAGCCCGCGCAGCACCGTCAGCATAGGACTTCAAGCCTCAGTCTCGATGCAGGAAGCGGAGCCTCGTCTGTGGATCATTTTGCAGTCTTCCGGTGTGCCTTGCAGTCTTTGCCTCCACAAAGGGTGCTTGAAGGGCTTCCTATTTGCAAGGCTGTGAACACGGTCTCCGCGAAGCCCGAACAACCAAAGCAAAAGCCACCCTTGGAGTCGGTGCAAGCGGCCATTCGGGACTCAGCCGACACGGCGGGAGGTACCTTGGCTCCAACGTGCAGAGTGTTTTGGTGACGGTAGACATTTGTAGTCTGTGACAGAGCTTTGACAATTTGAGTCTGCGGTGGCATGAAGCTAGCTGTCCGCAGAATGTGTGTCCACAAGCTGCGTCCTTCGTATATCTCAGAATGTAGCGATACCGCCTGCTTGGAGGTGCCAGCCCACGCTGCCTTCCTGAAGCTCAGCCTCCGACAATAAGGGGCCAGTTGGAACCATCGTGGAATCCCATGGTCGGTGTGCCGCGCATTCTATGCCCATCTGACTTATCCATGTTCCTGCGCCGAAATCAATATGCAGGATGTTTCAAGAAATAACATGCTGAAAACATGAGAGACTGGATGCTGAGCCCAGGCTTGGCTCTGACGACGAGGTAGATGCTGAACTGTCTGACGATGGTAGCATTGATCTGATGGTTGGAGACCTCACATTGGAACCTGTTTATTTTCACCATTCCTGAGGGGACAGAATGGAGTCCTGCACAACGATGCGACCAGTCTGCCATTCTCCGCTGTCCCGAGGATTTCTTTAGTCGCTCGCGCCGATGGCGAAAGCCGTCGGCTGTCTCCAGAGGAAGTCAAGCTCGAAAGCTCTCAGACATCACAGCGTCCTTGGTGGTCTTTTCGAAGGTCCCTTTCTGAAAATTCTGTAACTGATCTGTTCAAAGTAGCATTCGCACTGCATAATTTGACTTCACTCGACGACCTCTTGGGATAGCGAGGCAGCTCAGCGACATGACACAGGGAGGTGACCTATCTATGGTCCTTTGCCGTGCTCATGCATGAATGAAAGAAATGGTTTTAGATAGCTCCTGTTCTCCAAGCCTCCTTGATTATGATGCTGAGCTGCAGCGTGTGTGGCAATGTACGGGTAGTGCCCATGATCTGGGTGCAGGAATGGGCCTTCAGATGCAATTTCGGCAAGTAGTTTGTAGTCTACATTCCTGTAGGGCCAGATGTGTTGTCAAGATCTTCTGGCCGCTGTTTTTGGCCCCACCGGAGACCCAAAGCAATAGCATTTGAAGAGGTCATTCAGAAGCACCAGTAACGGTGCATGTGATTTGTTCACTTGTGAGTTTTTTGTGCCGATTTCTTTCGTTAAGGGGCTGCATGTGGCCCCAGGAGCTCCGTCCAGCGATTTCCTATGGGCCAGATGCAAGGCAGCCACTCCAAAGTGAGCTGTCCTTGTTGGTGCATGAGAGAGGCTATATAAGTGTCCAAGTCTAGAGCCACAGTCACGTGATTTGATGATTTGATTCCGTGCTCTTTCATGCATTGTGCGAAGCGTGGAGCCCGGCCATGGGGGATGCCGATGAAGAAAACATTGATGTGCGATCCTGCTGGTTGATGGGAATCTCCTGCCGCACGAACACAACATGTGTTACAGGCCTAGCAGCATGGGCTGGCCCCGCCACTGTCCTCTCATCAATAGCAGCCAATGTGAGAGATTACAGAAGTAGAAGTAGGCCACATGCTCTTTAGAGCTGTGCGAGTAGTAGGGGCATCATGGGTGTCGGATGGTGTCGGATGGTGTCGGAATATGTCGAAATGGGGAGAGGTGACAGTCTTATTGTCATTGGCTCCGCCGGAGCGTAAACGCGCAAAAAATGCATACTTGGCCGACCTCTTCGGATGTGGCCTGCGTGGCACGAACCACACGTTCGAAATATTTCGAGGGCCCGACATACTGCGTATACCACGCATCGCGTTTTTCGGTTTGGAGGCCCCGAAATACTGCGTATGCACGCCTCGCGTTTTTCGGTTAGGAGGCCCCGAAATACTTCGTATACCACGCATCACGTTTGCCC